AACAGGAAGCATAGCCTTCAAAATTCCTAAAAGATCTGTGAAACTCTTGTCTGTCCATCCACTACTTGCCTTCAGCTTCATTAGGTCCAAGGTAACTGACAACTTTGTGTGTTTTGCTTTGCATCCAGCGTGCAAAGGCGTCTCGGAATCACTTACCAGCCTGCTGAATTTCATTCCATCTCTCTCATTCTGGGCTGGGTCCTCAACGTCACGTAACATGTCTTGCAGCAGATCGTGATCCACGTCAACCATTTCACCGCCCAATGGAGAAAGTATAAACATGTCATGCTCATTTTCATCTTCCTGATTATGCGCACCACTTCTGTCTGCTGCTGCTCCACTTCCTGATTCTTGCTCTCCATGCTTCACCCAACATGTATAGCCCTCCATGAATCCTCGTTGTATCAGATGACCGTGTACGTCCTCTCCGCTATCAAACATATTCTCGTTCTTGCAATCTACACATGGACAACACATGTAATCATTGTTTCTTCTTATCCGATCCTCCTCCGCGGCGTTCATAAAATTTATTACGCCCTTTCGGTACTCCGTAGAATGACGTTTCAAATTTTTGGCATACATCCAACTTCGATCATTTGCTACAAAAAAAAACAAATTAGAGGCACATATTATAATATCAGTATTGCAAAAGTAAGACGTGATGAAATTGATCAATTAATGATTTATATTACTCACTTGATTGATTCATTTTGATCACTTTTGGGAATTTAATTTCTGTTTTCCTTGGAAAAAGGACAAAAAATCGCCCCCTACAGCCTCCCACCAAAATAGTGAACAGTGGGATACAGTTACACTAGGTGGTGGGGGGTATTTATACTGTGCAACAAATATCTGTAACGGCCCTAAAACAATCAACCGTGACGGGCATACAAGTAATCTCTATCGGGCCTTAATAAAAGGCCGTCAAAAAAGAGTGTCATCTGTGACGGGCAATAAACTTATCTCAATCTGGCCTCTAGTTGGAGCCCATCACAGATGACCCTCATCTGTGACGGGCTTCTTTTAGGGCCCGATTGAGATATGGAACCCTCATCTCAATCGGGCCTAAACTATAGCCCGTCACAGATAAGTGTCATCCGTGACGGGTTTTAGTTTTATGCCGATATACCATGGCTGTGCGACCATATCTCAATCGGGCGAAACTTCGGCCCGATTGAGATTACTTCCTTGTGACGGCCCGCAAATTCTAGTCTTGTTATGGGCCGTCACATATGGAAGGATCTGTACTAGTGTGTGGGCCTTTTAAGATAAATCAGATTGGTTATTTTTATTATAGATCTTATGGTAAAAAATAATGTGTCCACCAAATTAAATGAAAACTAACAGTTAGATTTATTTTGGAATTCTAAATTTATTAGAGCGCCATGTGGCGGCATAGGAGTGTTTGTAGGGTGCCACATGGCGGTATGAGAGCGTTTCTAGAAAGTCTAATAGACTTTTAGTATATAATAGATAGATAATAGATTTTTTCAAATAAGACAGACGGTCAAACGTTGGACACGGAAATTAGGGTTTGTCTTTTTTTGGGTTGGAGGGAGTACAATTTTGGTGGCACAAAAAACAATTGCGCATGCGAAAGACCCGATAAAAAGCGCAACCACGAATTTTGGTACAATTAATAGGCAATGATAAAACTCCAGAGAATTCTTGAAGAAGCAGCGAAGGGGATCTCTGTCCAGCTGCTACGGTCCGTCCAAATTTTTGCTTCATCTGATCATACTCATTTACCCAATAAATTGCAAAATTTTGTGAGTCCCACATGCAAATCGATGAAAACGATATCAGAAGCTAGCTGAAAACACAGCAGCATTTGGAGCAACAGTGAAAGTATCTTTTTTTTGTGCAATGATCACCAGTCACGTATCCTCCCCTACTTCGTCAGAACAAAAAGTTTCAGAGTTCTCCAGCCATCAGCAGAATGCGTCTGTGATCTCTTCTTGATCCAGCTAGTCCCTAGCAGTGTCCCGATCATGAAGCAACACTGATCCATCTGGACGCACGGTGCCCACGGATCTTCAGAGGAGGAGAAAAACTGATGACGATTTAGTACAAAGTTAGTGGCACGAGGAATATTCTGACATTGCCATCAGAATTGTAGGTAGTGTGGCTCTCGTCTCATCAGAATTGCCAAACTGCTCGCGTGCGCTTGCATTGCATGTCTTCTTCTACATGGTTCCATGCAAAGTAGTCCACCTGCATAGCTGCATCCACTGTACTGCATTGTATCACAGAAAAAGTGCAACTTTAGCACAATGGAAAAGCTCATGGAAAATTTCCTGTATGATATGGACAAAATTAGGAAAATAATTCTTCGGGCTGACGACCAAGAGATTAGTGGGGACAAATACAAAACAAATTGGCTAACGGTTTGCTCACCCACCAAACTTGGGGGACTGGAAGTTTTGGACTTAGAGAAATTTGCACGAGCATTGAGAGTGCGATGGCTATGATTCAGTTGGGAGAGCCCAAACAAACATTGGGCAGGGACATGTACCAAATTTACAATAGAAAAAGTGGTACCTCATGGTACCTACTCAAAGACCGTAGAATTACTCGTGATAAAATGGACAAAAAGTTATTTGCTTCTGCGACCAAAGTGACAATAGGTGATGGTCGCAAAGCGAGCTTCGTGGAATCAAATTGGATTGGCAAACAACCACTGAAGGAGTTAGCTCAGACCTTATACAACCATGCCAAAAGGAAAGGTAGGACGGTCCAAGAAGGACTAGCAAATGACCAATGGATACTATACATCAGGCACAATCTCACAGTCGAGCTAGCCAAGGAATTCTTTGAGGTGTTCTACCATGTGTGGAATAGCGACATTGTCCTCACAGAAGGTGTCGAGGACACCATAACTTGGCGATGGACGAGAAATGAAAAGTACTATGCAAAGTTAGCCTACATAGCACAGTTCAATGGTAGGATAAGCTCAACTGCAGCAAAACTGATTTTGAAGCAATAGGCATCTTCCAAATGCAAACACTTTGCATGGCTTCTATATATTGCAAAATAGTATTTGGACAACGGACACGCTACAGATCAGACAATGGCCAAACAATTACTTCTACCAACTATGCTACATGAATCTAGAAACCGCCCAACATCTTTTCAAAGATTGCACTTTTGTACGTCAGATATGGGAGAGGGTCCTGAGTAGACTGAACTGCAGCGATATAGACCATTCACATGATGAAAATGAAGTATTGTTAGAATGGTGGATCAGAAGAACATCTCAAGGAGGGAAAAGCAAAGCTAAAGCACTCAAGTCAATCCACTTGTTGGTGACATGGGAAATATGGTGTGAACGAAGCAGGAGAGTATTTCGAAATCAAGAAAAAACCATGTCGCAACTACTCGCCAAAATATAAGACGAAATCAAACTGTGGAGAATGTGCGGAGCAAAAAACATCACTAGAATATCCGCGTAGGTTTTGTTTAGTGCGTGTTTCTAGTTTGTGTTTTTCTTCCCTCACTTCCTCTGGTTCTTTCACCTTCTTCTGTGATATTATAAATACTTTTTCCCTTCTTAATATAACACCAGTTTAGCCTAGCTTCGGTTTAAAAAAAAGAAAAGCTCATGGATTCTTCTCTCGTGTGAAGAAACAGCTCCAGCTGCAATCTGCATGCCAGGAAGCTGGCAGAGCTGCAGGGATTCTGGACTGAATTTCTGAATATCACGTCAGTACATTACCGGATAACATTGCCACATGGACCGGGTGATGCAGCAGCAACAGCCTACAAAGTAGCTGTTGATGCCTTGGTGTGTGCAGACTTCAGAGACATATGACATATCCCAATTCACAGATGCATATGAATTTACTATACGATGCGTGGGTTTGGACCGATCGACGCATATACGTTCATGCATATCCTCACCCATTTCATGGTGCAAAATGCCAAGAACAGCCAGGCAGCTACACTTGGTCGTAGCCCGACATTTGTGTTTAAGTTTGACCATATCTTGGATTCTTGGGGCCTTCATCAGCAGTGTCAGATAGAGCACTTCCGTTTGCATTTCGACAAGTTCATCAGCTACTTTGATTGTAGTGTACATATCAATTTCGTCGGCGATAACATTACAACGAATAAGACGAGTAGGTTGTTTACATGGCAGATGCATGTCTGTGTGTTAGGCGTCCCCGTAATCTAAGCACATAGATTATAATGGCCATAGAAGAAGCATGAGAGTTTGCATGGATCATCTGCAATGCTGCATTATTCAGGCAAGAGGAGCATGCCGAACTGACAACTGATTACCTCTTGTCTAAACTAACGTCCTCAAGTGGAATGATTATACTGTATTTAATTGCGAGGAATGGTCTCTTTCAAGAACTTAATTGCCAAATCAACTGATTAGTGATTTATTTAATTTGAGGAATCATTTTGGCAATCGATTAATTAGAGTATTGTGTGGGAATAGGTTAACTGAACCCAGAATACTCTTTTCTCCACCAGTGGTGTGGTGGAGGTCGGTATATATCTTTAGAAGATTCAGGGATTTCGTGTCGATGCAGCTGGAGAGACAACATGGCCGGAAAGCTAGCTAGATCATTCAAAACTCCATTCTTCTCTGAAAAAAGAGAGAGAAAAGATTGGACCTTCCAAACAGCGAGCTGACGATAGGAAGAGACACATGCATGCTGCTTTAGTCGGTTTTTTCTCTCGACTAATTAGCATTTATATTTGTTGATCATCTAACTAGATATACGATCTACTTCGACTAAGCAAGTCTCTATCTTAGTCGAAATGGAATACTGAATATATAAATATGAACGATGCTTCGAATTTCTGACTTACACCAGCTTTGACAAAAACAAGAAAAAAGATGATGTGGAAAAGATACTGTTTACTTCCCTTGAGGCTACACGTCTACATTGGCACTCGTTTTCAGGATGGCGATGGCATCAATGGTCAGGCACTCACTCTTCTCCGCTATCCACACCCTCTCTCCCTCCAACTCTCTTCCTATATATAACCGGGCAGTTCATGTACCCACACACACACAAGAACACGCGCCACATTTGTCATTCAGACATTCAGTTTGTGCTGGCTGGGCACTTACTGCATCGATCGATCTCCTCTTCAGAACAAGAAGAGATCAGCTTTGGAGCTAGCTAGCTTAGCTAGCCGGCTGAGCTAATTTCGCCTTGCTTTGGTTTTTGTTTTTAGTTTATCTGAAGGAGAGGGATTTGTAAGTGCAAGGAACTAAAGCGGCATCTATAACAGATGGAGGATTTGGCAAAGTTCTTGTTTGGAGTTTCTGGTGAGTGTTACTCAGTACTCTAGCTTGATTATATTGGTTCCTGTGAATTTTGTTAGGTTATAAGAAGTATTTGGTGAGTGTTCTTGTTGGCTTTCTTCAGCTTACTGGTTGGTTTTGTTCTTTCAGGCAATGTCATCGCGCTCTTCCTCTTCTTATCCCCAGTGTAAGTATCAAAAGTTGATGCATCTCACTGTCTCTCTTTTGGACTGGTAGCTGTTATATTTATAAAGAGAGGGTCAAAGATGATAAGAAAAGTGGTGCCATAAATTTAGTGAGCTCGCCAAACATAGGGTTTCCGAAGTGGATCTTTTTCTCTGAAATTATGAAGTGTAATTGTAGCTAGATCCAGATACATAAACCCACATGATGCCATGAATGACATGCACAGCTTGTCTCGTAAGAAAGAGCTAGAATTCAAGGGGAGAGCTAGAATTCAAGGGGATCCATGCATCTGTTTTTACCTCGTAATAGTATATTTGGCCGTGTACATCCAGCAATTTTCTTCATCAGTTCTTTCTATATCCTCATAATTAATAGCATCTGTTTTTAGATGTAGAGGCCAGTATTTTTTTAAAAAAAAACCCATATAGTGTTCCAGCAATTTAAACTAGAAACTTCCGGCATACACTGTATTTTGCCACCATCAATTCCAAACAAGTCATGTTCTTTGTCCGGTTCTGAAATTATTTTTCTTGAAAAAAAATGTTTTAATTTTACTGTTGCTGGTTGCTGTCTTGCATTGAACAGAGGTATTACTACTGCTCGCATCTAATGAATTTGTTAACCAAAAAAACACACTTGTTTTTTTCACAGGCCTACTTTCTGGAGGATCATTCGGAGGAAATCAACAGAGGATTTCTCTGGGGTGCCATACAACATGACACTCATCAACTGCCTCCTCTCTGCATGGTAATCTTCTCAAAATATTCACAATAACCAAGTAACCGACATAACCTACAGTACAAGCTTAGCTACATGCCTCCTCGTATAAATGAACGATACAATGTTTTGGAAACGATTCTAGGTTGGTCGGTAATTTTCGTATTTACAATTTACTAACTATTTAATGGTCTGCAATATGTACGCCACTAAAATAAATATGGCTATAAATGGTCAAAAATGTTACTATTCCAACATAAATGATACTTGTTCGGTCAAGAATTTTCGGTACCATTTTTAACCCTACCTCCATGCCTTTGTGAAGCATATAATCCAAAATTGATGAGATGGCATAATATTACAATCTGCTTAGAAGGATAGGACCTGGTAGAAAAAGTAGTATTTCTTCCGCCCCAAAATATAACAATTTTGAGCACTCAGGATTTATCCTAAAATATAATAACTTCACCAACGTTTTCTTCCCAACCAACCATCACCCTTCAGCAATCACTTTTCGCACTTACCTACACTTGTCAACCAATGACAATTTAATAGTTGTATCTACTTTCTTAATAACCGTGTCCAACTCTAAAATTTTTTATAATTTGGGACGGAGTGAGTACAAATTACCTGCTGGAAGGGCATAATCTATTTAAATAATTTTGAAAAGGAAAAGAGAGTTAAACTAATTAGCATGAATATTCTATTTAAATAATTGTATTTTAAACGAAACTGGATAGACTAGTACATTGTGGTTCATCCTTATTCCCATGTCACCTCAAATTGATTTCTGTCCTGGCACTATGCCGTCAGAAAAAAGAATATCCCTATTTCTCTACAGTTAGAAAAACAGTTTAATTTCCGCGGTAGAAAAAAAAAACTTGCAAAATTTGAAGCGTCCTTTAAAAGGAATTATGTCAGAATGGACCGAAAATAACCAGAAATTTACGATCCATCTAAACACACTTTTAAACCTAGTCAAAAACGTAATAAACATGGGACCACCTATACATTTGTCGACAAATTTTTTTCTAAAAATTTGACATATGTAATTATAGTAAAATCGTAGTGTAATTACACTGTAACTTGTAGGTATCGGGCCGATCACATCTTAACAGGCCCTAAATAACAACACGACACACACGGTCAGGTTAGAAATTTCAGTCCGAAATTTCGTAACCCCCACCCCGGCACGATACTATATAAATTCAGTCAAAAATTACTATTTAGTTTGATTTCAAACAAATTCGCTCCGAAATTTTGGCAGAAGATTAAACCCTGCACACGGTTTAACGCTGCCGATGCCTTGTGTTGAATTGCGAAGGTACGGGCTGCCGTTCGTGTCCCCAAACAACATCCTGGTGTCGACGATCAACGGCGCCGGCGCGGTGATCGAGACGGCGTACGTGGTGGTGTTCCTCGTGTTCGCCTCCACCCACAAGACGCGGCTGCGCACGCTCGGCCTCGCCGCGGCCGTCGCGTCGGTGTTCGCGGCGGTGGCGCTCGTCTCCCTCCTCGCCCTCCACGGCCAGCACCGCAAGCTCCTCTGCGGCGTCGCCGCCACCGTCTGCTCCATCTGCATGTACGCCTCCCCCCTCTCCATCATGGTACGTGCCTGCCATTCTCGGTTTCATGGATTAGATTTTTTTCAAAGAAAAATAGTTTTAATTATACGACGCAATCAGCCAAACCGGCTTATGTTAAGGGAACAGGGAAAAACTTAAACTAAAACTTAAGAAGAACTACGGCGGCTAAACTCAACTCCTAACAGCGGAAACTTCTTGGATTGGATTTCGTGGCGATTACTTGCTTGCTGATTGGTTTTCATGGTGAATCGATGCAGAGGCTGGTGATCAAGACGAAGAGCGTGGAGTACATGCCGTTCCTGATGTCGCTGGCCGTGTTCCTGTGCGGCACGTCGTGGTTCATCTACGGCTTGCTCGGCCGCGACCCCTTCGTCACGGTGCGTGTCGTGCCACCGGCCGCCGGCGCCCGCGTGCAGCTCAAACAGTTGATTGATTTGATTGGTGTTCGATCGTTTTTGTTTGGACAGATTCCGAACGGGTGCGGGAGCTTTCTTGGCGCCGTGCAGCTGGTGCTCTACGCCATCTACCGCAACAACAAGGGCGCCGGCGGCGGCAGCGGCGGCAAGCAGGCCGGCGACGACGACGTGGAGATGGCCGAGGGGAGGAACAACAAGGTCGCCGACGGCGGCGCCGCCGACGACGACTCGACGGCCGGCGGCAAGGCGGGCACCGAAGTGTAGCTCTGGCGTGCGTCTCGAATCGGCTAAGATTTCCCGCGTGTGTTCTACTTCTACAAGTAGTAATATTAGCTAGACCCTTGCTGCTTTGATCTTTACTAGAAAGGAGAGCGCGGCGCCACGCCGCGCGCGATGGCAAATAGTTCTACATAAAATGGTTAGATAGTAGATACATATTTTGATAAATATAGTCTACATTTGTTTAATAAACAGAGTACAATGAAGTATAAGTCATCCTTGCGAATCCATTAAGTGGCTTAATAGAAGACAATACACCAACAAAGATGAACGATAAAAATGTGAATTGGGCTATAATTTTTATTAACAAAAAGGACAAACACTTTCAAATGCGTGTTCATTTAGGTGGATGCTCTGATTGGCATTCTTCTCCACCATAAAGGATTACAAGTGGAAAGAGCTCATTACAAACCACAATTTTGTCTGCAAACATGTTCAAACCACTTCAGCGCAGCTCTTCAAGCATGTAAGCATGTTTGCACCAAAAAATTCGGTAGCATCTTTTTTTTTTGAATCGTATATAGCCAAATGCTCTTTCAGAATGTCACTGAAACATAGGGCATACATGGGTTAGAACAAAACAGATGTTTTCTTAATACCTTAGGAAGCATAATATATCCATTTCAACTTTTCTTTCGATTACCTGCATCTGCATGCTCAGTATTCAACATGTCTTCCCAAGCACTTTTACATTTTGTCTAATCTGTGCATGTTGCTCCATAGCTAGCTTCACCATCAAAACAATACATATATATTTTCAAAGACCAAAAGTGCAGGCATTCATGGTGTGGCCTTATGATCCAAGGGCAATATTAATGTTAGAAAGGTAATGATACACTCTTGACTGAATTTAATAGCAGCACTGATCTCTTGCAAAAAGAAATAGAATCACGCTAGTAAATTATATGAAGAATACTTGTCATGATTCACTTCCAAATTATTGTTGCAGATATTCTTTACAACTCCTCAATTGAAAATGTCACACAGGGTGAAGTATCATATCAACTGTGACAAAATCTAAGATCCCTCTCTATTTTCTGGCCTTAATCTTTATAGAAGTATAAGAACTTACCCTAAAATCAATTTTGATTGCTTCATTTATTTGTCAGCTTATAAGACGTATCGCAAACAATGAGAATATTTTCCAGAAAAAAATCTAAAAGCATATTGTATTACTGGCCTCCTGTGCATTCGACCAAAAAAAAAAACAGAGGCAATCATCTATTCATGTGCAGTACTGTGTACGGATAAACAGAGCTACAGTACAGGGGTCTTAAGCAATTCATTGCCTGGACCATTAGGGTGTGTTTAGTTCACGCTAAAATTAGAAGTTTGTTTGAAATTGGAACGATGTGATGGAAAAGTTTGAAGTTTGTGTGTGTAGGAAAGTTTTGATGTGATGGAAAAGTTTGAAGTTTAAAGAAAACTTTTGCAACTAAACACGGCTAAAGAACCAACCTGGTGAAGCAAACAACCGGCGACGCAAGATTGCCAATTTCCTTTTCCTCCGAATGACCAAAGACTGGTACGAAGGACCAGAATTGAACGAGGTAGCTAAAAAAAAAGGTAACATGATCAAACTTTCCAAAAGCAAAGGACAAAGACAAATTCAAATCTAATAGGCATCGACAAGCACAGCACGCTAGTCATACGATAAACAACTGGAAACGAGAGAAGTGACGTTTACATTTCGGGCAAAAGGGGAGTAAAAATGAATATAGTAACGAAGGAAAAGGCAATTACCGGTTGATCGTGTTGATTCACATGCTGGCCGTGAGGAAGAACTCCTACCACGAAGGATTGCGGCACGATGAGCTCTAGCAGATGATGCAGACGGCATAAACCAATACGACCAAGTAAGTATACCCAGTGCCTAATAAGATTTCACAAGTAAGAACATGGATATCATAATTTTACAGAAACAAGGAGGCGTATGATCATTATAACATTAACACAGTATAAATAAAAGAACAGGGCAAGCGTCGGGAGGGAAAAAAAGGAACAAAGAAGAAACAAATAACGAACCGGTCGTAGAAAGGAAAACAAAAGAGCTAGCACTGATGCACAGAGTAACCATATAAAGGGGAGGGGCAAGAAGGCACAGCAAGCAAGGGCATGGACACACATACAACAAACAATAGACATGCAAGCCGACACCTACACCAATAAACAGTGAATTAACTCGCCAGCACAACCTGTGAGAACAGTAAATACCACAGGAGGTCGACACGCACATGAATCACCCCCAGTAAATACCCCGCCTTCAAAGAAGACAACGCACGCAGCAACGAATCAGCCCACAGTCAGGACAACCGGACAGCAAGGTCGATAAGAAACATCAGCTCAATCAACAAAAAAGGCAGGGTAATGACAACCGCATAAATACATACGGTAGCACTAATAACAAATTAAGACCACTTGACAAATACACTTGAAAAGTTACCAGCCATCACAGCAACCTACATCACCAAGAGAGGGGGGGGGGGATGCCGCTTACAAACGGGAATTGGGCAGGTCCCATAAATATGACCATAGTGTGTTGACCCATAGTTATTTTTACCCCTTCCGAACAATGGTACCCTTTTTACTAACTATGTAAAACTGTAACACTGCAACAATGTTTAAAAAATAAAATAAAATATCGCACACAACAACAAAGAGGGCAATTTCTCCTACACAGGGGCCTCATGAAAAGGGAAATTTTTTACAAGACCCAACACATGGAAAGGGTAAGCAAGGCGCATTGGGAAAATTTGCAAGCACAAAATACATGTAGGGAAAAAGTAAACAGCAAAAAATTGAGAAAAGGGCTAAAACCTGCATACCGTTTTGCTTGCTACCACCAAATACAAGAACAAGTCAATTTACATGCAGACCCATAGAAGAATCGCCAGAAAAAAGAACAAGAAATCGGCAAGGAGCACTGTGCAGAGCCTAGAAACCGACTACGACAATCAGCGGGAATAGAACAATACCTCACCAAGAACCATGAGCTGAGCCATTATAAGGAAAGTAGGAACGCCGACATGCCAAGAACTCAGATCAGGCTGGGCGGGCGATGGCGACGGTTAGGTCCCTGCGACCGCTGCGTCACCCACGCATTGCAGACGAGGCAGCGCGACGAGATGGTTCGCCACCGGTGGACGCAGTCGTGGTGGAAGGCGCGGGTACATCCGGGGAGGACGCGGACTGGCCGTCCGGGCACCATGACGTGGACGCAGATCGCGCAGAGCTCCGTCTCATCCTCCTCGGCATCCCCGACCACCAGCGCGCAAATCCCACCCATCATCGTCGGCTCCTCCTCCGGTCAGCGAACACACTGGAAAGGAACACATTGAAGAAGAAACCGAAAGAAGCAGTCACAACAGAGGAAAAAGTAACTGAACCGGGGGAGAAACAGCTCTCCCCAAATCCACCAAATCGAGTCACCTCCAACAAAGAATCAGGAGCAACAAAGGGGAAGAAGAGACTACCGGGAGGGGAACAACACCCCCCCCCCCCACCCCCAAAGTACAACAAAGAATGAAAACAGCACATCCGCAAGATGGACTAACCTCGACCGATTCAGGAACAGAAGATGACAAGCAGCAACGGCCACCGGCACGAGCAACAGGACGGAAAAGCTCGTACGAGCAAGCCAGCAGCGACGGGGAGACAACACCAATCCAAAGAGAGAAAGACCCAAAAAAGTCAACAGGCCACACCATACAGAGACAGAAGGAAGGGCAAAAGCACATGTGCATACCCAGCATAACTACCAACCTCAAACACATCCCCAAAACAGAATTTTGTCTTCTTCACATTCAATTTGTAAAAAACGCAAGGGGCTAAACAGAAAAGCACGAAGGCACAAAGTACAGGACAGAGAGGCTAAACTGAAATAACAGAAGAAACAAATGGACCAAAACAAGAAATGGCCACATGCCACGCGCCATACAAAGCGCCATCTAACCGGGAACAAGCATCACAGTGACCGGCATCCAAACCCCAAACACAGCAACTAATTACCCAATTAACCGGCCTAACTAATTACATGACCGGCGCACCGGCAACACAAAAATTCACATACTCAGCCGACGAGCAGACTACAGTAAACAGGGACATGTAAATCAGCAAGGTAGCCAAAAAAAAAAAAACCAAAAACATGAGAAAAACGGTGAGGTTAGGGGAGTTATTGATTGATGATTTGCAAGATGTAATTAACCATGTTTGTAATAACGAGATAATTAAACGAGAGTAATCCATGTGTCAAGAGGTCAAGCGTGACCTCTCCCACACCGTCCATGGCGTCCATCCCCCTCCTCAATCCGCGGGCGACCTCTCAGCCGCCCGCAACCCTCGCGGCGCGCATTTCAATCATCGTCGTCTCCACCATCCGCCGATTCGTCTCAAACACCGGCGAGACGGCGAGCAGCCAGCGAACGTCGTCGCGATGCCGCCGAGCAAGCTCCGCAAGGCGATCGGCGCGGTGAAGGACCAGACGAGCATCGGGCTGGCCAAGGTCGGGAGCGGCGGCGCGGCGGCGTCGGAGCTGGACGTGGCCATCGTCAAGGCCACCAGGCACAGCGAGAGCTTCCCCGCCGACGAGCGCCACGTCCGGGAGGTGATCGCGCTCACGCTCCACTCCCGCGCCTACGTCGGCGCCTGCGTCGCGTCGCTGTCGCGCCGCCTGGGGCGCACCCGCAGCTGGGCCGTCGCGCTCAAGACGCTGGCGCTCGTCCACCGCCTCCTCGCCGACGGCGACCAGGCGTTCGAGCAGGAGGTGTTCTACGCCACGCGCCGGGGGACGCGCATGCTCAACATGTCCGACTTCTGCGACCACTCCCGCACCGACGCCTGGGACTTCTCCGCGTTCGTCCGCACCTACGCCGCCTACCTCGACGACCGGCTCGAGTACCGAATGCAGGCCAAGCACGGCGGCGCGGCGCGCCCTGGGCAGCCGCTCCGCGAGCAGCTGTACGCGTCCCCCGGGAACCGCTTCAACTACGACGACTTCATCATGAGAGACGACGAGGCCGACAAGGCGGTGGCGCTCGTGGCGAGGGAGACGCCGACGAGCGAGATGACGCTGGAGCAGCTCCTCGCCAAGGCGCAGCAGCTGCAGCACCTGCTCGACCGGTTCATCGCCTGCCGCCCCGTCGGTGAGCGAATCCTCCTTGCGTTCTCATTGCCATCGCCGGCGCGTGCACTGACATGGAAGAAGCGCGTGTCCGTCCGTCGCAGGCGCGGCGAAGACGAACCGGGTGGTGTCGGTGTCGCTGTACCCGCTGGTGAAGGAGAGCGTGCAGCTCTACTGCGAGCTCACGGAGGTGATGGCGGCGCTCGTCGAGCAGTTCCCGGAGATGGAGGCCGACGACTGCGAGCGCGTGCACGCCGTCTTCTGCGGCCTCGCCAAGCAGCTCGACGAGCTCGAGGCGCTCTACACGTGGTGCAAGGACGCGTACGTGTGCCGCCAGTCCGACGTCCCGGAGGTGGAGCTCATCACGCAGAAGAAGCTGGAGCTCATGGACGAGTTCGTCCGGGACAGGCGCGCCGCCGCGGCGCAGTCGCCGGAGCCACCCAGGCGAGAGGCGTCCCCCGTTGTAGAGGACGACGTGAGCGCCACCAAGGCCCTTCCGGCGCCGGAGGAGCCGGTTGCTGCGGCGCAGGAGGAGCAGAACGCCGGGGAGACGGTGCCTGCTGAGCCGGAGGCGCCACCGCTCATCGCCGACGGCGACGCCGACTTCCTGAACCTGAAGGGGGACGCCATGTCCGGCGAAGAGCACGGGCGGCAGCTGGCGCTCGCCCTGTTCGACGGTAACCCGGCCGGGTCGGCGCCGGCGCCCGACGCGTTCGACCCCTCGTCGACGGACTGGGAGACGGCGCTGGTCCAGTCCGCGAGCGCGCTCGCCCACCAGCGCGCCGAGCTCGGCGGCGGCCTCAGCATGCTGGTGCTCGACGGGATGTACAGCCAAGCGGCGGCGGCGTCGACGGCCGCGAACGCGCAGGCGTTCTCCGGCAGCGCGAGCAGCGTGGCGATGCGGCCGCCGGGGGCGCCGATGCTCGCGCTGCCCGCGCCACCCGGGACCAGCGGCGCCAGCGGCGACCCCTTCGCGGCGTCCATGGCGGTGGCGCCGCCGGCGTACGTGCAGATGTCGGACATGGAGACGAAGCAGCATCAGCTGGTGGAGGAGCAGATGGTGTGGCAGCAGTACGGCAAGAACGGCATGAGTGGGCAGGGCGCGCTCGCCATGCTCGAGCAGCAGCGGCCACCGCAGCAGCAGATGCAGATGCAGATGCTGCCCAATGGGGGTTACAATTACGCAGGGTATCATCGGAGTTCTTAGGTTGATCACTTGGAGAGATGTTCTCGTCGTTTTTCTTGTTATAAAGATGTTAATTATGTTACACTTTTCGAGTAAGCAATTTCCAAACATGTAGCGTAGTTTGCATTGCGATCTCGAGAGCGCCAGATTAGTTTGCATATTTTCTGCCTCTGGGCTGCACGTCATCGCTCTGTTCTTGGTGCCCATTGTACGTGCAATTTCAGACCTAACTTGCGCGGTGTTTCGACCCAAATGTGCCGGTCCGTGTTATATAATTCGGCACAAATATCAGCGTTGATTCAGCTCAAACGGGCGCACAATTTCAGGCCGTACACTAGCACAATTTCCGCCCATATGCTTGTACAATTTCAGCCCAAATACGTGCACCGTTTCAGTCTAAATGTGCACGTAAGTTTGGCCCATAGAAGTACTGTAGGCATGTGCAAAACATTATATAGTACCAGGAATCCATGCCAAAACAACGAACTTAGGAGAAGATTAATAGCAAGTAAATAGTAGGCCAAACCATGCAAACTTACATAAGGTTTAAGTGCAGTCATAACACAATATACACTAGTTTGATAAACAAACTTTATTCAGCAGCAAGTAAATAAGGTAACACAAAGCGAATATCTGATCCTCAGTAGCGCGCCAGGCTAGACAAGTTCGGATCATAGAGCATCGCCATCGAGAACTAGGCCAAACCTTCAAAACAATGTACATTGTTGGCCTCACAATGCTTGCAGTGACCACCAGTTCGAGCACTGGTAAATCCAGCAACAGTCCACGAGAAAGATTCAGCGAGGTTTGGCTTAGCTCGGAGCGGCAGCAGGTGGCCATGAAGACACATCTGTTGCGCAGTACTGCCAGCATATGGAATCCCACTAGGTCATCAGTATCAGAGTCCTGAAGATTTAATAGCAGCAACTAAATTAGCCCGAAATAATTAATACCTGGAAAACAAACAACTTAAAAACGAAACTGTACCTCTAGAACGGTTCTGGACTTAGTTATGACAGTGGGAACTGCATGCTGGGTTTTGAAGCAAAGCCACCGTTATTAGCAGCAGCAGGTAAATCATCAACAATGCGCATAGTTGGACGCGAGTCACCAGATGGAAAGGCAGCAGATAGAGTAGTACTGTATGTGAACTGATCCATGGGATAATGCCAAAATTGGTTGTTTGGCAAAGGATATGCATAGGATAATCTTGTGTCTGGAGCAAAGATATCATCCATATTTACATAATTTTCACTGTTAGGAACTCCAAAGTATGTGGGCTGTTGTTCAGTAACACCAGCATTGGACGGAGAAAATCCATCACCATTTGGCACACCCAATTCAGCAAGCCCTGCAATTTCATTGTACAGATCATTTGTGCTAACCTCAAAAGCATGAGCTTCAGCCTCAGACATTGGTGGGAGACCAGAGTGCTGCAAAATAAATAGATAAAATAATAAGCCCAGAGAAAAATCAGACATTTTTATATGCCCAAGCATAAAAGGAATACAGGGAGATCTGATAATGAACAAGCTCTATCTACCTCCCCAACAGGGTTGCCATGATGAGGAGAATCAGTTAAAAACCTAGAAAGTTCCTCCAATACAAGCCCCTCAATTACAGGACTGTCTGCATTATTGACCACATTAGAACAGTTGTCCACAGAAACTACCTCATCACCAATAGATTCAACAGAGTGCTGGGAAGGCAGTTCCATGAGAGCACTTTCACCAGTAACAGTAATATTTTGATATGTTGATCCATTCCCAGCACATACATGAGGTAAATGCTGCACAGGTAGTTCCTCAATAGCTCTGGCAGCAACAGAAGGCTGAACACGTGTATCATCAGTAGAATTTACTACCTCTGAAGAGGGCAGCAATGGAAACACAGAAGTTTCAACATTTGGCAGCAAGGGAAACATTTCAGCATCTGCATGCTCCCATTCTTCTTCATTAAATGGAGCCCCATATTGCTCCCCAATCCTTGGACCAAGGCCACTTTTCTTGAAAATTTTGCAGAGGACAAAATCATCCTGAATGTTTAATTAAAAGAACTATTGAGTACAATATCCCAAATAGGATACATAAGAGTTATAAAACCAATAATAGCTTTGTTTTAACTAAATCAAAATCCAAAAAAGTACTTCATCGTTGATAACTGCTTTTCAAAAAAGCAAAATATTGGCTATCATAAGAGTGAGAAAAATAAAAACAAAACAAAGGGTGCCTAGCACAATTTGCACTTTAGCCCCTATAAATCAGCACAAGGATCAATATTCTATTGTTTTTTATCTGTTTCTGGAGTTCTAAAATTTCTTCAATGATAACTACCGCACATAAAGAGCATTATTAGCCCAGCCATATTCCACTTCTGTTACTAATGGTTTAGAATACAATTTTACTTCCAAAGATAATAAAAAGGAGATAATAACAGAACGATGAACATAAAATAAGGAATTACTAAATCTTGATCACATAAAGCTAAGTGTAGTTGTGAGAGCTTACTCGACAAGCAATACGCATACTAAATAGCATTACCTTTGAGAAACCAGCAGAGACCAATTGATTGTCTTCCATTTTGTATTCGTACATCACCCAATCAGTCCTGTTGCCTTTAGGTGCTTTGCCTTCATGAAAAATCAGTGTTTTCTTTGACCCAACAATGCGAGAGTTAAGCTCAATCGTTCTATCTTTCCCACTTGTTTTCCAGTAACCATTTGGTGTGGAACGATTTGTCCTAGACCCATTAGGATATTTCTTGTCTCGTGGGCAAAAGAAGAACCATTCAAGATCTCTGCTCTGGAGACAGGATTGAGCTGCAGAAGATTGATGCATACAAATTAGAGCAAAATTGTGCATAAAATTGAGAATAAATGACATGTTTTTCTTGAGAAATTGTCTTCGTGACCACTATTTTATCATTTATTTAAAGTTTCTAAAAACATCATAACATGAGAATTAGGAATTACCAGGAAGATCCCAGGGAGCAAATTTATACAGTTCAACATCTGATATAGCTTGAATAAGAGGCTTCTTTCCCATAATCTTCCTTTTCAAATAGTATGAAACAAGTTCAACATCTGTTGGATGAAAACGAAAGCCAGGTGGCAAGCAAGTTTGAGCCATCACTGCAGTGTATATCTTGCCTTCAGCACCAATAAGACAACAGAGACCTTTGTTTAAGGTACAAGCAGAAATGCTTCACCAAATAATGCCAATACCAATAATCAACAAGTGATCTAAGATTGACCAGTAAGGGAAATGTTTGAGTGCTCAAACAACAGAATTTAGGAGCACAAACAATCAAGAGAACTTAGGAGAGAGCTGCTTTTGATGTTTGAGCACAGAAGGAACAAGAGAGGACTTCAGAAGATTGTATTGCGTGAACACAGCAGGACGGTTCACTTAAGGGAGATCAGGAGGTTGATCAGACCAAAAGGGAGATTGGTCCAACCTCAGAGAGAACAGAAGACGTGATTGTTGAGAAACAATCTTCGGCAAGACTCAAGCAGAGTTTAGATCGAGCACTCAACCGACAAATGTTTCTGAACCCAGATGAGAGAAAACTTGAGTCTTGCCAATTATGCTAACTACAACTGATTCACATGATAGGAAGTATTAGCACAAAACTCCAGGTGATCCACTTGTATCAAGTGAAATCTCGGAATTTTATGCAATATATGAACCAGAAGTAGCAGGAGAGGAAATAAGGATATTCCTCGCTGACTTCAGCAGACATGGGTGATTAGGATCAAAATCCTGCAAGTAAAATAAGACAGACATAAGAAACATGAATGGTCATATAAAGCAGAAGGTACAGGTTTTCCTAAAATATGACATTCTAAACCCTTGATAAACCCTCATGAGCATGTCCAAACAAAGAAAATAGGCAGCTACTACTTTAATTTTCGGAGGAAACCGAAATAGAAGGAAAACTGAATATCGAATACGTATGTTACAACAAGGAAATCACAACTAGTTTTTGGTTGATTGATATTTCCCGGTGAAATCCCCCCAAAAGAGATAATCTTCCCTTCAATTGAACCTGGAGAATTCCAGATCTGTCCTAAACCACAGGTCAACGATCAAACGGAACCCCCAATCAACCTAACCAAAAAAACCGTACCTAAGTCAACGCTGCACAAACCAATGCTCTCCAAGCAATCCAATCCTAAATTAGGCCCCAAAATCGACGATCAAATCGATCTCACACAAAACCTGCATCACATCCACCACCCTGATCCGCGACCCCGAACCTATCGACGAGACCAATCCGATCCACACAAATCCATCAACCCCCATCCCCGAATCGTCGAACCAAACCCCCAAATAGCCACCAACCCTACCCCCCAACCCCAAGACATCCCCCGACGCTAACCGCGCCCTAATCCAAAAACCCGCACAGAACCAGCGCGGATTGGAGATCGGAGCAAGGGATTCGAGAGAGAGATCGGGGTGAACTTACGCGGAGGAGGCAGGGGAGCCAGCTGGTCGATTGGGGATGCCGCGGAGGAGGAGGGAGGTGAGCGCCTGCGCCTGCGCCGCCGTCTGGTCAATGGAGAGGATGAGGATTTTCGGAGGAAGCAACCGCTCGCGTCGCTGTGATGGGGGCTCTTTTATACCCCCCCCAGACGCGGTGGCGTGCGCTGGTGCTGGGCCGAGAGGCTGACGAGTGGGCCCCACGGAATCGGCTCTTTTTACTTCCGGGCCCGGCCGAGAGGCTGACGAGTGGGCCCAGGAGATCGGCTCTTTTGCTTTCAGGCCCCTCCCCCCTCCCCTCGCCGCGTCGTGCGGCTTCGAGGAAGCTTCGCATGCACGCGACCTCGGTTTTGGCTTTTTTGCAGTCGCCTCCCCGGTGCTGACTTTCCTGCGTTGGTTTGATTAAAATAAGTGGAAAAAGAAAAGGTTTTGGAAGGTTTTTGGGTTGTTTTGGTAAGTTTCCCCCGACTCGGTAGTTGCCCGGCGATTTCTTGTCATCTGTTCGTTTCTACGGGTGGTTTAGTGACTTGTGAGAGGCTGAAGTGTGGGGCCCTGTGGTTTGCGTGGAGGTGTGGAGGGGAGGTGGTGGTGGTCCCTACTTCGGTTACTATTGGGCCGCATTTGAGTGGTTTCTTATAGTTGGGCTTTATACTATTTGGGCCGACCAGATGTCTTAGCTCTCTGGTTTGTGTACTCCTGTCACCGCTGACAGCCTGGTCTTATGAAAGATTTTTCTTGTATTTTCCATAGTTAATTCGAGGGTCAATCTTGGTCAAGAATTTATACATTCAGTTAGGAGTAGTTTCTGCTTATTACACCTAAATTTGGCACCTATGGACGAAATAGGGGAAAATTGCCAAAGTTTGGAAAGTATCGGGTTTCCTTCACAGGGCCGATCAGACTGCAGGTATATGGGCGGTCTGACCGGCTAGTAGGGCCGGTCTGACCGCAGGTATGTGGGCGATCAGACCGGCAGGGTCCAAGTCCGAGTCTGTTTTCGTCGGGTGTCGGGTTTTCTTGCTCGGGAAGGCATGTTTCGTATTTCCTTTGGTTTCTATCCCGAGTTGGGCATGAAGAAGGGCCTGTAGGGGGCAAGACCAACCCCTATTTAAGGGACAAGGCCGGTTCATTGTAAAACCGCCAAATACAATTTACTTGAATCGTTCTTTTACTATGTTTTCTATTTTACCTTAGTTTTAGTCTATCTTTGTCGGTTTGCGCCGTAAACCGTCCGCCGCCGCTGTGAGAGTGCGACACTTCTTTGTAGGTTTGTCCTGAAAACCTTCTGTTTTGCCCACGAGACGGGTAGTTATCCTCATATCAATCTAAATCGGCCTAGAGGCTGATTTTGATCTCTAAATCGGCTCCGCTAGCCGGTTTAGCAGTTTTTCTCAAAAACCCATCTTAATTTGGCCCTTTGGCTAAATCGAGGTGGTTGGCGACTCTATATCACCGCAAGGCGTTTAGGTGTTGCGATCGTGCTTGTCGACTTGTCAAAAAAGTTGCCAACACGATTTTTGACGACTTCACTAGGGAATCGATCTATTCGGCTTTATTATAGCCAAATATTTTGATCTACTGTTCGCGTTGTGATCTTGCTTGATCACGCTCGGGTGTCGTCGTCGGTTTAGTTTTCTGGCCGAATTGTTTTGATTCGGCGGAATTTGTGATCAATAGCAATAGCAATCGGATTGTTTCTGTACAATCCGATCTGCTACACACGGTATAAAAAAAATCAGGCTATTAAAGCCGATTTATTACTGCACACGGTCATCCAGAGGTACACGTGTGAATAAGGAGCAAGGCAGTAATACTCGTACACCCTAGCAGTACACGGCTATTTTTAATTAGGGAAAGCAACAGCCGATCTTGATTAAAGATCGGTTAATTGTTTTTGCTACGTGCTCATATCAAGTATACCAAGGAAGTCAAAAGACCGTATATTAATTTATTCGGTCAACGATTTCGGCTATGAGCTATATGGCCGGATTTAATCAAGAAATTTCTTCATCAACTATGACGAGCGGGAACGGGTTCAACAATATTACTGCACAATACATTAGGACCGATCAAGGCGTCGTGAAAGGAAATGTCCCGCTACCTCAAGTTGTAGTTTCACCAAAGGTAACCTCCGATTCGCCCAACCCGTACTTTGCTATTCAAAACGTTAATAATCATTGTGTAGATGCATATGCTATTTCTAGTTTTGCTCCTATACAATATGCTTATAATGCTAGGGGGGTCAATGGGTGATTATACAGCCGATTACACAGGAATCGGCTATATGCAAAACCTAGCTAACGGTATGACCGGTCGTGACACCGGTCTAATCGTATCCTATGCCGGTCAGACCGTGCCCTATTCTGGCCAGATCGGATCTCCTTTGGCCGGTCTGACCGCACCACTAACCACCGGTGACCGGGCCATGGGCCGGTCAGACCGGTTCCCTGGGAGTTTCTCTAGGTTTTCATACCACGACTAGCAGTACTGATTTTAATTATTATTTATCACCTGTTAATACTGTTAGTCATGCTATTCCACATATCCCTAATGCCTACAATGATATTAATAGGGTATATCCTCCCGATACTAGGTATGGCCAATATAACAATATTGTATCGCAACAACCACCTTTTAGGCCACCAAGTTCACCACCAGATCCACCAAGGCCTGAAACTGTGGAGGATTGGTTTAGAAATATTATCAGGGAGAATTTAGCAAAGCTAAGGAATCGCGCTAGAGAGTACCAAAAGCCGTATCCTGATTATTATGACATTTTCCCATATCCTCATGATTATAAAATTCCTGAATTTACCAAGTTTAGTGGTGAGGATAGTAGGACTACATGCGAGCATGTAGATCAATTCTTAGCGCAATGTGGTTGGGCTAATAGTGATACTTTTAAATTGGCTTGTTTTCTTTATTTTTGTCCGGTACAGCTTTTACATGGTTTACTTCTTTATCGGTAAATTCTATTCATACTTGGTGTCAATTAGAACAAAAATTTCATGATTATTTCCACACTAGTGAGACTGAGCTTAGGTTGTCTGATTTAACATCGGTTAGGCACAAATACAATGAATCTGTTGTTGATTATATTGAAAGGTTTAGAGATGTTAAAAACCGATGTTTCAATTTGAAAATAACTGACAAAGATTTGGCCGACATTGCATATGATGGATTGCTTGATTCTATTAAAGAGAGATTGAATGGTCAAATATTTCTTGATGTTGATCACGTGTTGCATGAAGCTCTGGCTCAGGAAAGCCGAGTGGATGACAATAGCTTAAATGCTAATTTAGATGATAGTGCAATATCATGTATAGCCGAACCAAGCGATGGTTCGGATTGTGGTAATAATTTGTGCAATGATGCCGTAACGAGTATAGCCGAACCAAATGTTGATTCGGATTGTCTTACTAGTTTGGATGATAACGCAATAACTAATATAGCCGAACCAAGTGTTGGTTCGGATTGTGTTACTAGTTTAGACAATGATGGAATAGTCGAACCAAGTAATGGTTCGGATTGTGTTGCTAGCTTAGAGAATAGCATCATTGAAAATATAGCCGAACTAAATGACGGTTCGGATTGTATCACAAGCGAAAGTGAAATAGCATTATCACCTAAGACCGAATCACAAATCGGTCATGTGGATGTTGGAAAAGATAATGAAAATGTCTTGCGGGATAGTAGTGAGATAGAATCTAAAATAGTTATGCATACATATCAAAGGCCGTATCCTGAACACATAGATTCGGTCCCGTACCCGCAAGGATTTGAGGAGCCCAACTTCACGAAATTCACAGGTGAGGATGCTAGAACAATAATGGAGCATATCGGCCAATTTATTGATCAATGTGGTAAGGCCGGTAGCGATGATTTGCTTAAGTTGAAGTTGTTTCCCCTTTTTTTGTCAAACTTTGCATCTACATGGTATAGTTTGCTTGCTCCTAGTTCAATTTCTACATGGTCACAAATGGAGCATGAGTTTCATGATTATTTCAAAGATGCAAGCTTGATGGAGCAAAGACCGATTGATACTTCATCGGTCACTTGTGAAACTATTTCGGTTACATCTATGCCTAAGACCGGAATTGTTAGTGATCCTCTCCCTACTAGTTCTATTGATGTTGACAAAAAGAAAGGGAAAAGTGTTATTATTGGGGATCATCGGCCCAAGAATATGATCAAAAATGCGAAGGCCGAAGATCATAAAGTTGCAAAGGATGGGTCATCTAATTCCCAAAAGACCAAAAAGCCGAAGCTCACTTTTGAGATGCTTATGGCTAAGTACAAGAAAGGTTTAGCCGGTCAACGATTTGATAATCAAACTAGTGATTCAAAAAGACCAAGATCATCTCGTAGAAAAAGATTTGGTCAAACACCAAAGCAATCGGAGCCATCAACTATACCAACTCCATACAAACCTCCGGTTGTGATGCCATGGTATCCATATCCAATGTCACCGTTTGGTTATCCTTTTATGTATTACGTACCGTGGATGCATCAACCACCTATGCCGCATTATCAGGAGTGGAAGGAATCACCTAGGACAGTGCCAAATCATTCATCTAACTCAAGACAAGACCGTTTTCCTCAAAAGAATCGGTCCGGTAGATCAAAGGTGAAAAATGTGAAGAAGGTGTGGGTGAGGAAAGAAGCCAAAGCTCCGGAGGTCGTTGTTATCAAGGAGGAGTTTCAAGATGTTCATGTACTTACTGGAGATGCGGCGAAAACTATACAAGCGGAGAAGACTGAAGCCGACGCCGTTGCTGTCGACATTGGCGGTCTGACCGAGCCAGCTGGCCGGTCTAACCGCCAGACTACGGCCGGTCTGACCGGTCCTTCTAGCCGATCTGACCGACGGCTTGTGGCCGGTCTGACCGGGCCCAGAGGCCGGTCTGACCGGGGGGCATTGAAGAAGAGTGGGAAAATTGAGAGCAACATAGGAGCTTCCACTTCGACCAAAAATATTAAGAATCATTGTTTAGCTCATGGAAAACAACCACAGCTGAAGTGGATACCTTCTGGCTTATCTCGCTCTCAAAAGAGGAGGCTACAACGTCTTCGAGCCATAGGTCAAAAAGAAAAGGAGACCGAAGATGTAGAGAATAAAACATGTAATAATTTAGAGCCTCGAACAGCACCTAGGCAAGTGTGGAGATCCAAAGAGGTAAAAGTTAAGAGAGCGGTGATTTCCCATAGTAGAGATAAATCCAATTTGATGATAGACGAATCATTGGTCATTAGAGATAAGTCTCCTTCACATGATGCTGTGGATGTTGGTGCGGTGTTCGTCTTGGCTTCGAAATCGTGCAGTCGAGAAAGCTGATTTTGCTTGGGGGGCAAGACATAAATATGCTCATGAAGAAATCAAGAGAGATGAACGGCGATGGATACAACATCACATCTTTGAGCCGCCGTTTGTTGGATGCTAAGGTAAGGTATAAGTTTATTGTGTTTATCGTTATATGCCTATGCCATGTTAGAACATTGCTTGCTATCTAGCACATGTGTGTTTTTTGCTTATCAAATTAATATTATACATACATGTTGCAAATGCCAGTTCTAAGTAGTGGAATTGGTAGGTTGGCATATAATTTGTTTGAAGTATGATTTGGCTCATGAGTCTTTGATATTTATTTAAAGCCAAATTGTATGTGTTTTTATGGATCACCATATAAGATATAGATTTTATAATTATTGCACCATGAAAGTTTTGCTTATTAGTAATTCGGCTAATGTCAATGGTCAATGTGATGATTTATTCTAGAGTTGTTTTCTTTAGAAGCATTGGCATTGTTAATATTTTGCATACATGCTCAAGTCGATTACTTACATTTGTAGTTTATTGGAATTCATGTGTGTGAGGCATATGACTTTGGTGATTCATTATTGATCATACTTCAATTGGCTAAGTGTTTTGATGCCATGATGATTATTGTTTCAAAAGCCATTTGAATTAGTATTCATCTAGACATGTTAGTTGGATGTTATAGTTTTTCATATGTCTAGAGAAAAAGGAATTTTGGTCCAATAATTTGATACACCAAGCATCTAGCTATTATGTAAGGAAAAATTATATACTAAAGGCCGATGCTTGATTTCAAAAGTTTGGACGAAATTGGCAAAGTCATAGACCAGAGGCGGTCTGACCGGCATTGCACGGCCGGTCTGACCGGTGGTACCGGCGGTCTGACCGGCTCTACATGGCCAGTTTGACCATGTAGACAGGGCGGTCTGACCGGCATTGCGTGTCCGGTCTGACCGATCTCGGGCAGAGAGCTGGGGAGCACGTTACAATTGATTAAAAGGCCAAATTAATTGTGAATTCGGATATTTGTGCCCATGAGTTAGAAATAGCTTGGAGAATTCCTTTGATTAGATATTTGAAAGATCCTACACTTAAGGTTGATCGAAAGATTCGGTGGCAAGTGTTCAAATATTATATCACTAAAAAATAGATGGAGTATTACTTAGATAATGATCAATCTAAAGTTGCTAGGAGAGTAGTACATGAAGGGATTTGTGAAATTCATCAATAGGCCCGTAAGATAAATTGGTTGCTTAGGAGAGTGGGGTTTTATTGGCCGAAAATAATTGATGATTGTTTCAAATGTTATATAGGGAGTGAAGCTTGTTAACGGATCGGCAATGTTCAATTAGCGCCTACCGCTGTGTTGAATCCTATCATTAAACTATGGCCGTTCCGAGGTTGGGCTTTGGATTTCATTGGTCAAATTTATTCTTCGTCATCAAAAGGGTATTGGTTCGTGCTAGTTGCAATGGATTACTTCACTAAGTGGGCCGAAGCCGTGCCGCTCGAGAATATTACTTGTACGGAGGTAATTGACTTTATTTTGAAGCATATTGTTCATAGATTTGGTATTCCTCAAACGTTAAAGGAGCTTCTTTTATCTCCGAAGAAGTGAGAAGTTTTGCCGAATCTTATGATATTAAGTTGTTGAGTTCTTCTCTTTACTACGCTCAGGCTAATGGATAAGCTGAGTCAAGTAATAAAACATTGTTGAAATTGTCGTTTTGCCCGTTGAGGTAAATCTTGGCTCTCTTCGGTATTTCAAGCAAGACGACTTGTCAGTTGAAGATTACAAGACCTTGATGGGAAGCAATTTTGAGGATGTCATCGACAAGCGTTTGAAGACTTTGAAGGAGATGAAGACACTTCAAGACGGTGTTTTCAGAGAGCGATTAATGGGAAATACTTGAAGAAATACTTCCCGAGCATTTGGCAAGATGCTTAGGAAATCCTATGGCCGGTAATTGGATTATCGCCCTGAGATAACATATTCTATGCTTTTAGGTTCACGTATGGTCACCAAAAAGGCAGGGGGCATGTGTTTACACCCAAATCTGGCACCTATGGACGAAATAGGGGAAAATTGCCAAAGTTTGGAAAGTATCGGGTTTCCTTCACAGGGCCGGTCAAACCGCAGGTATATGGGTGGTCTGACCGGCTAGTAGGGTTGGTCTGACCGCAGGTATGTGGGCGGTCAGACCGGCAGGGTCCGAGTCCGAGTCTGTTTTCATCGGGTCTCGGGTTTCCTTGCTCGGGAAGGCATGTTTCGTGTTTCCTTTGGTTTCTATCCCGAGTTGGGCATGGAGAAGGGCCTGTAGAGGGCAAGACCAACCCCTATTTAAGGGACAAGGCCGGTTCATTATAAAACCCCCGAATACAATTTATTTGAATCGTTCTTTTACTATGTTTTCTATTTTACCTTAGTTTTAGTCCATCTTTGTCAGTTTTGTGCCGTAAACCATCCGCCGCTGCAGCGAGAGTGCGCCACCTCTTTGTAGGTTTGTCCTGAAAACCTTCCGTTTTGCCCACGAGACGGGTAGTTATCCTCATATCAATCTAAATCAATCTAGAGGCTGATTTTGATCTCTAAATCAGCTCCGCTAGCCGGTTTAGCTGTTTTTCTCAAAAACCCATCTTAATTTGGCCCTTTGGCTAAATCGAGGTGGTTGGCGATTCCGTATCACCGCAAGGCGTTTAGGTGTTGCGATCATGCTTGTCGACTTGTTGCCAACATCTGCATCCAATTAATTTATGACTTGTAATCTCTCCTGAACTACTCCATTTGTTCTAAAATAAACCAACCTCTTACTAGAAAGTGACACATATTCTAGAATAATTAATCTAAATACAAACTATGTTCGGATTCGTTGTAGTACGAGGTTGATTTATTTTGAGACGAGTAAAAAAAAATTGTAATCCTCTATTAACAGTGAGCTTGCTCGATATAGTTCTACACCTGTGGTTGCACAGCCCACCATAAATCTTCTTTATATTTTTACGGTAGCTGATAGTGATGGCTGCAAATTAGCACTATCGAACACCCCCAGTAGACGCAGGCGGAGGAGGCCGGGTCGCTGCGAGCTCGCCGGTGACGGTTAGCGGCTTACCGTCGGTGAAGTGCGGATTATGGAGCTTGATCGCCGGTGACGCCCGGTCGCCTATCGCATCTTACGCGGCCCGCTAGATAGAAAACCCGACATGCAGTCGCAGACAGCTAAGCAATTAGTCGATGCAGCTGAGTGGTTATATATTGGCAATTTTTCTCTTGTTTACAAGCAAAAGATGCTTTTGTGTAATTGTTTATTATCTGCAATCTGCGAGCGGAGACTTGCTGAGCAGATGCAGTGTCATTGTCGAGTGAATCAAAGCATTTGACAACTATACTTCTTTTGTGTCCATGGCTTCCAGTGGAATGCCTTTTCAATTCGAGTACATCATTTTTCAATCACTTGGTAGCTGTCCGTACCACTTGATTTATTCATGCGGTTATGAGACGATTGAAAGTGGTGGGTGTGGTGGAGTGCAGGTCTCCAACAGAGCTTAAAATATAATGCATGTAATTACATACTCTATATATTTCATATTACAAGTCATTTTATGTTTATTTTAAACTAAGTCTCTTTAAATTTAAATTTGATCAAGTTTTTAAAAAATATCAATATGTCTAACACAAAATAAATGTACTATATACGATACATTTATTAAACTAATTTGGTTTTATAGATGTTTTGATTTTCTATAAATTTGATTAAGCTTAATGAGATTAGACTTAGGATAAATTTAAAGTGACTTATAATATTAAACGGAGGGAAGTAACACCTTTAGTATAAATTCAGTGAGGTGATACATTAATGATTGATAGTCAGTCACTTAGCCATGTTATTTTGTGATCTGATTTTTTTGGTTTTCATTTGCACATTTTCTAAGATTTTAAAACGGTGTGTTCTGTGAAAATTTTTCATGAAATATTTGTTTCTAAAGCAACCTTTTCAATTTTATAGTAGCTATTTCATTCATTTACACTCTCAAATAGCTATAAGAAAAATCAAATTACCCATCTATTTCAGTTATCTCAACGGGCCTTGTCTCCATCCCTTGAGTATATGATGTTAGTGCTTATATTTCTTAATCGAAAAAGAGCTAGCGAAAAGAACCTTTCTTAATCTTATCATCAAGGTAGGTAATCTGGCCATTTATAAATTCTTTCATCCGGCAAGCAAAGTACAGGCGCCAGTGCAGCACAAATCAGGAAATTCCAGAAGCCTTTGCGCCTCTCCCTCCCCGCACACAGACAGACAGCTCCAACCAACACTTGCACGCTCAATCGCTTCCCGCACCCAAAACCACAGACATGTGGGCCCCACCGTCTCTCTGACCCCACATGTCAGTGACATACCCCACTCCCAGCCCCCACCTGCCGCAAGCAAAGCAAAGCAAGCAAAGCAACCGCCTCCCCTCGTCGCCCCCCCTCTCCCGGCTCGCGCCGTCACGCGACGCGCCGCGCCGCGACGCCGACGCGAGCTCGCGGGGTTACAAAGACAGCTAGCTCGCCTCGCCTCGCCTCGCCGCGCCGCGCCGCCGCCACCCGCACGCCCGCATAGCGGAGGCCGGGCGGCATTCGGGCCGATTTGGCGAGCTGGGGGAGCCGGCGGATGGGAGATCTGGCGGCGGGGTTGGAGGAGGAGGAGGTGGTGGTGGTGGTGGTGGTGGCGTCGAGATAGTGAGCGCGGCTAGAGTGGTGGTGGTGGTGGTGGTGGCGTCGAGATGGTGAGCGCGGCCTCTAGCCGCGCGGGAGGCGGCCCCGCTCGACACGCCCCGAGGGGCGGCGCGGGGCCCGGGAGCCCGCGGGTCTCTGCGCAGCGAAGGAGGTGGTGGTGGTGGGCGGCGCCGCTGCCCTCGGCCTCGGGCGCGTCGTCGCTGGAGCGCGTGGCGCTCGCGTTCTTCCTGGCCTCCGTGGCGCTCGTGCTGTCCTGCGCGCTCTACCTCTACGTGTTCCGGTACCTCGGCCGTGGGAGCGCCGTCGCCGGCTTCGTCGGCCGGGACCTCGAGCCGTGCGACGTGTTCGACGGCGCCTGGGTGCCCGACGCCGGGTACCCGCTGTACAACAGCTCGCTGTGCCCGTTCGCGGAGCGCGGGTTCAACTGCCTGGCCAACGGGCGGAGGGACACCGGGTACCTCAAGTGGCGGTGGAAGCCGCGGCGGTGCGACGCGCCGAGGTTCACCGCCCGCGCCGCGCTGGAGCGGCTGCGCGGGAAGCGGGTCGTGTTCGTGGGGGACTCCATGAGCCGCACGCAGTGGGAGTCCTTCATCTGCATGCTCATGGCCGGCGTGGACGACCCCAAGACGGTGTACGAGGTGAACGGGAACGAGATCACCAAGACGATACGGTCCTTGGCGGTGAGGTTCGCGTCGTTCGACCTCACCGTGGAGTTCTTCCGCTCGGTGTTCCTCGTCCAGCAGCGCCCGCCGCCGAGGCACGCCCCGAAGAGGGTCAAGTCGACTCTGCGGCTGGACAGGTTGGATAATATCAGCAGGAAATGGGTGAATTCAGATGTGTTGGTTTTCAACACCGGCCACTGGTGGACTCCGACCAAATTGTTTGAGATGTAAGATCAGTCGCTTCAGTTTGGTAACCTTTTTAGTTCTTTGTTCTCAGCATCATACATTAGCTTTGTCATATGAGTATCTATTATCAGAAACATTTGTTGAGTGATGAATCTTAGGCATGTGCTTCAGTTTGGTCTGATGGGTAGCACAGAACCTTTCATTTTGATAAATACAGTTGGGGAATAGGATGGGATCTGTTCATTTGAATTTATCACTAAATTTGAGTATCTCTATGCCTCTAAGCAAAGAGAACCACAATTGGTGAAGGGAAACTAGATGGCTTCATGTTTCTAGTTCCCTAGTTTTCTAGTTTCTCCATGTTACCTTTACACGTTGATGTTGATTATTCAAACCTAGGCTTCATCCGATTTGTGATGGTACTGTTAAATTGGCAGAGTGAACAGTTGCTAATACAGAATGTATTTGCTGGATGTCATGCATCTCAACCCATATGTTTTCCTTTCCCGTTTTAACATGTAATTTGTTCACTGGTCTCATGACATTGGGAACACACCAATTTTATCGTCTTTCAGTACAATTGTACAAACTACAAAGTCCACTTCAAATTACTTTCTCGTTGTTACAAACAAGCTGAATAGAGTTTGTCATACCTAAATTTCCCTTTATATTTTTCTGTGAGAGTTAAGTGCAATGCAATTGATATTATTAGCATTTCTGGCTTGGTCATGCGCAGGGGTTGTTATTTTCAGTCTGGACGAGTGCTTAAACTAGGAACATCTGTCGAGGCTGCTTTCAGGACGGCATTGGAGACCTGGGCTTCATGGGTTGAAAAAAGAATCGATTTAAACAGAACTCATGTTTTCTTCCGAACATATGAGCCGTCCCACTGGAGGTTTGCTTTCTGAATGCAAACAACTGCTCTTTTCTGTACAACCTGTTTTTCATACCTTTTTATGAGCATAATTTGAAGTGACTTTATAGATGCAATATTATACGTATGCAGTTTAACCATGTCAATTCAAATGAGAATAAATTATTAAGAGTGGGTTAGTAAGTAAATTTGTCAATGTATGGCCAATCTATAAAATGTGAATTCACTAGAAAAACATTCAGTATTTGGCAACTTCACATGTTAAAATGAGCATTTATATCCATAATTCAATGCCCAAGTAAAGTTCACACATAAATTTAAATCATATTAAGCATTAGAACTTTTATTTGGCAATGAGTATAGATGATCGCAGCAATTGATGATTGTGGGCTTATGGCATATCCATTTTGTTATGCTAGTAATCTGGAGTCCTTGTCCATCTGCATCTCATCAGTGATCAATCCAATTTCGAAAGCTTTATTTGACCTGCATTCTGATTTAGTTATTCATAATTTGCTTCTTGCACTTTATCACCTTGGATTTGAGAACCATATTCCATTTTTGTTAAAGAGGGGACATGTCTGAACAATTCACTGAAAATTTACATTACCATTTCAGTGAACTGTCAAAATCTTCTCACTGTTTCCAATACGAACTGTGACAATATTATGTTGGGTCCTGGGTCCATCTAGAAACTTCAGCCTCGCTCGGTTGTGCACTTGTGCTAGTTGCTGTGCAGCTACAGTCCCAGCATCAGAAAATCGGCGGCGGCTGTGCTGCTGCAGCTAGCTAAGCCGAGCACCCTCTTCATCTGTTTTCACCTTGTCATTCTACATTGTTAAATTTTGTACTGCAAAATGTCACCATTATCTCTTCAATTCTTAGAACTATGGTATAATCTGAGACGACTATGGTACCTCAAAACTAGCATTTCCTGATTTTCTTTCTATTTATATTATTTCCTCTATACGTAACATTTGACAATATCAATTCTGTCCTTTGTTTCCTCTTCTGTAAGAACTAACTAAAGAATTGTTTCACCTTTACAGTGATACAAATCAAAAGGTATGTGAAGTAACAGAACAGCCTTCATCAGAGGCCAAAGGAAATGATAAGAGTGAATTTGGGACTATACTTGCCGATGTTGTGGCAAACATGAAAGCTCCTGTCACTCTACTAAACGTGACTTTAATGGGAGCATTCCGAAGTGATGCTCATGTTGGCACCTGGAGTTATCCTCCCACTGTACTTGATTGCAGCCATTGGTGTCTCCCTGGAGTTCCTGATGCTTGGAATGAACTGGTATTTTCATACCTTTTAACAAATGGTGAGTTATGATAATGGCTACCTTCATTTCTCTATCCACAAAAAGGCAAAACTATGTACTCCTATTTAAGAAGTATCACTAGATTTGACCAGCTTTTCACATTCCAATTTCACAGGTTGGCGAAAGATGGCTCGGTGACTGCTGACTCTTGACAGTATACTCAATATAATGTTTTTCAGCTTGAATATTTCGAACTGCAGTTTTGTCTGCTAAAGAACAAGAAAACATGAAACAGTGTATTTTCCTAGGTTGTTTACTGTGCTTCTACATTTTTTTTCCTCTTGTACAAGGTGATGCATTAGATTTTGGATGGTTTCATTTGTCTGTACGTAGTGATAATACATTCTATACGTTGTAAATTACATGTTTCAACATGTATGTACTATTGTACTAACAATTCACTTCATACGTTGTCATAATATCTGCTCTTTTTCAACAATTAATGAAGCTCGCAAAGCTGGTAATACTTGCAAATGTTTTGTTCTACTACGTTGGTTATTAGAGAAAGTTTAATAATATAGCCAACTACTAACTCCAATTTATCTATAGCCAATTTAATAGCTCATTCATACAATAGTTGCATACTACACTATTAATACCTAGTCACATCGGTCATACACACACTGCGTTTTGGAATCCGTGCTACAGCTAGCTATAAATCTGTAGCCCGCTGCTCTTCTCTCCCCTTATTTATCTTCTTAAATTGCAGCTGGCTTATAGCCTGCTACTGTACCTGCTCTTATGTAATGTACGCATCTCAATCATGAACATTTAAGACGTACAGCGTCAATCATGAACATTTAAGACGTACAGCGTACTACACAATTGGTACTAGTTCAAGAGCTCAGGAATGTTTCCTGCACTATCCTAGTAATTGTTAACTGCGTTGTAGTACAAGAAAAGCTTTACTTCCATTATAACCAACAAAGGACAGCCTCTCTGTGCAGCATCTCTTTCCCGCAGTACTCAGGTTTTTCATCAAGGAATTTACATTTGCCATAACTAATTAGCTAAACCAACCCGAAAGAATTGTTAGCTGTCAACAACGCAGCGAGACACAGCTGCAGCCATGACAGCAATGGAGGGTGTTTTTTTTTTCTTTTGTGTGTTGGAAAGGCCTAAGCATGGCAACCTACACAAGCTGTTTCTATGCATGTATAGTGCTATATAGGATGGATTTTTGTGTACTAATAATATCTTGAGCTATCTACAGATCATGAGCTTGATATTGTCGCTGGCACAGGGTTGTTGTTCGTTGGGTTCTTCTCACCCCAATGCAGCAGCATGCTCTCCCAGTAGCAGAACTTCTCGTAGCAGATAGTCAGTCTTGGATCGGTGATATTTCGCCGCCAATGTCCATCTTCCAGGTTTGCCTTCTCAGCCTGCCTCCGTTCCCATTCCAGCCCAGCCTTCAGCTTTGATCTCAGCAAGCAATAGGACTGAAGCTTCTCGGGCATATTGTCATGCACCTTCCACCACCGGGCGTGCGCGACATCGCTTGCGAATTCGCGCATCAGGGGGATGTTCCAGTTGCAGTCATAGTCTCTGAAGCACAGCCATGGCTTCATGCCCAGGTAGTGGAGGACATAGAGGATAGGCGGGTCTGCGCCAAACAGCTCAGTCTTCTTCGCCTTTGCAGAATCGTCGTCCCCCTCCCAGAAATGCTTCAAGAAGTTCATGTGCTTGGGGATGCGGTGCCACCATGTGAATATCTCATTCAGATATCCTTGGTCACCGCCGTTGTACGATGTTATCTCATTGATGTGATCCATCAGTAGCTGGAATGTGCAGTTTGACGGCTCGATGACCATCACACCGGAGTTGAAGAGTGTCGCATTGTTGCCAGTTGCGGTGATCTCTGGCATCGCGAACAGGAAGTCGACGTTCCTCAGGATAAGGAGATCAGCATCTATGAATATGATCTTGTCATAGTCGGTCAGCTGCCACAACCTGAACTTGCTGTAGTTCCACTCATTGTAAGCATCGCGCTCAGCTTTTGGATTCCTGATTCTTTGGATAACCCTCACCTTCCAGCCTGCAGCCTCCAATCCTTTTCGGTGGTGATCACTTATCGTGTCATCGACAAGGATAACCAGATCCCTAGTTGACCCTGCTTGGCGAATGCTTTGAGCTGCTGAGATAGCACCACAGACATATTCACTTGCTGAGTGCAGGATAGTAGCATATGCTTCTCTTCTTCGATCCACTGAGTAGAGTCTTGCTGCAGCAATACAAACAAATGTTAGCTACTGAGTTTCTAATTCAGTTCAGAAAAGACTAAAAGCTGACATTAACATGTGTTTATGGAGACTATAACCACGACAGACTTGCCATTTACAATGTACTATTAGATTCTAAATGTGCAGAAAACAGTTCTAAACATGTTTTAGTTAATGACAGCATTCTAGATTGCCTGACTCTTGGCATGCATATCAATTGATCTAGGTAACCATAAGTGGAATAAGATTGAAAACTCTAGGCCAAAATTTGTTAACTAAAAAGGCAACTAACCTTTTGCTTTGAGCGGAACAGCAAGCTCGCAGGATCCAACTGGAAGCCTGAGCTTTTCTCTTAAAGCCTTTAAGTCAGGGCTATACAACCAAGCATTGCCTTCATGTTTCACAAGGTTCTTGCACGGGAAGAGATTAGGAATAGGGAAGCAGTCAGTAACAAATAGCACATGGACCTTCTGGTTGCCTTTCGAAGAGGCTACAGCCAGTTTTGCTGCTGAGAGCTGCAAATGGAGTCGTGCAACATCTCTTGACCAACCGCCCACCCGGGTGCAGGGAAGTTTCACAGCAATAACATCAAAGTGTGAGCCTTTTCGAACATTAGGATCTGGAAGTGATGGACAAGCCGGTATATCAGTTTCTTCCTCCTCATCAATCCATTCAGGATACAGGGTGTCCCAAGTAATACTGTCTTTGGCATGCTCAAGTCTTACAATGGAAACAGCACTTCCTGGGAGCAACTGTGCCCAAGATCCATACTCAGTGCTGTTAAAATTCAAGAGTCCAACTTTGAGCTTTTGGCTACCATCATTGAGATTTTCCAGTGCCTTATATACATCCTCCCACTGAACATCAACAGATGATACATATCGTGGGTCATAACTTGGTTTGTCCCATATCCAACCAACATCCACATACCTGCAGAGAAAATGAGTTCACATGAGAAAATAATAACAGCATGTAGGTATTTGGCTTTCCTTTTACCCTATATAAGAAAATTCAATGGGACTTCTGAATAAGTTGTGCTCACCGAGAACTTTGTAACTGATGCTCGTAAAAGGTTGGAGTTAGGAGGGTAAGGAACGTCGCAGAAGTGATAGCTAGGAGCAAATATCTCAAAGTTTTGAACTTGCAACCAGAGTTCTTTTCAAGGACAAGAACTCCAAAATTTTCGACATCTTTGTAAATCCTACTTTTGGGGGTCCTCCTCTTAGTTGTGTCATCACTGCAGAAGGTAGAAACATATTCAGTCTCAATATATTTTCAGAAACATTCAGAGTTTCAGACATAAATGGACTACTTTTGCCAAATAAGATTTAGTTAAAAGAAATGTGTCAACTCATTGATAGCCTTAGCCTCCTCTTAGCCTAGAATGCTAGCGAAATAAATGATAAGTTAGCTGCAGATTCCACAATATGTGAATTTCTGAACTCTCTGCGACTACATGAATGCATATTATGTCCTTTTTAATCCCTTTCACTTTCATTTAAATCACAATCATATAGACAATAAGTGCACGGTCACTACAAAGCAAAAACCGGTTCTGCATGATAGAGGACCTCTTTGCAGAGCACAAATGGAGGATTCTCATAGGAAGAACATATGCTTTAACTAAAAGGTTAGAGGCACAAATGGAAGTTTCAGTGAACCAAATCTTGCATAAAGGTACCCCTAAAAACAGCAGCAAGGATGTAGCAGCTACACTCGTAAAAATAGCACTCACAGGTACCTACTTTCCCCTAATGATTAGCTCAACAAGGTAGATATGGAATAATTTTTATATACAGGAAGTGCTATTATATCATCCCTTGAGTATGCTATAAAAATACTCAAAGCACTTAATTACAAAAACACAGAGCAATGCCAAATTAAAAGTATCCAAAAGTGCGTTCTTCTATAAAAAAAAAAGGAGAGGAGAAAATGCAGTATATCCGCTAGTTGGATGTGAAAGTGAGATACACTAAAAGATGTTTCCCAATAAAATAAGGAAACCGAAACAACAAAAGCAAAGTCCTCAGCACTAATAAATATTCTTATAAAAAATATCATATGGACATCTATTTCACAACCTTCCTGCTTCACTCATCAGACACTTCTTTGAGGAACAGAAAAATCATCACTACACAATCACAAAGGGTCACTTTGCACCAAACACACTCACATGGCTTCAATCAACTCAAAATTCAAAGTAGGATCAACCCTTCAACACCCGTTGTGACGCACGAATTAGAATTCGCAACCATGACAACCAAAAGCAAACATAATCCTGACAAAGCATAAACAAAAATCAGGAACCTAACCACTCAACTACTAATAGTATAGCACACAGGCGATGAGATGATCCAAGAACGCTGAGATCACCCGACGGCAACATAAGCCATAGCCTGCATCCCCTACACGTCACACAGTGACAATCCAGCACTAATAGCACAAAGATTTTTTTTTTTTTGGGGAAACAAAACCAGTGGCACAAAGTCAGACTTGCATATCCCACAAGAGTCAGTCGCCGACCATGTCATGCCATCATCATCAACAATACCGGGGCACCATTGCATCATCCAAGAGATTCAGCGGTTGGTCCACGAAGAGGTCAAAACGCCAAATCCTGATGAACAACACAATCAACCAAATGCGAAGGCTCCATCGCTTAACAACACAATCGATCGCATTAACCAATGCGAGCGCCACTGTCCGTTGCGTGCGTGTGTTCATCGCAAGATTTTGGATTGAACCGCACCGCACGCACGGGAATTCACCCCCAATTGCCCACCCCCTAATGCAGAGGTTGCTCGCGAAAGGGCTTAAACCACCAACCACTACACTACACCACCAGCAGCAAGTAGTAATTAAAGTGGAGGAGGCGGCGAGCGAAAGAACCAAGACGACGTCGACGTCGACGTCGACATTGTCGCCGTCGCCGTCGCCCACCGTCTCCACCGGCCGGCAAGAAGCGGCGGCGCGAGGAAGAAGAAGAAGAAGAGATTGTGGGGGGATCTTACGACGGCGCTCCGGCCGGCCGGTACCGCGTCTCCAGCGATCCCATCGGTGGTCACGCTTCTTCTCCTCTCCTCTCTCTCTCTCTCTCTCTCTCTCTCTCTCTCTCTCTCTTCTTTCTCTCTCTGGAGAGGAGAATCACACCGCCGCCGCCGCCGCCGAGGCGCCGCTTCTCATCTGCAATGACAACGACAACAACAACAAGAGCAGGGCAATGT